TGAGTCTGGATCTCTCCTGGTCTCTTTATTACTCTTTACACAAACTCTCGCTTAGAGCATCTGAGATGATGTTGGCTAAACTTTCTGTTTCATGGGTTTTACTAGTCAGAAAAATTAAAGTGTAAAGAAAACTGTAAGTTAAATATATCCTGTTTTGAGCCCCTTGACTTGATTTTCTGTGGTTTATTTGGAATGCAAGCAAGGATCTTCAGTTATCTGTCCAGTGAGATGAAGGAGTGGGAAGTGAATGAATGTCTTGTATCTATTATTTATATCTATGAATTTCTTACTGTCCAGTGACATTATGTGGTGGGAGACTAACAGACAGTTTAAACTTAACTTAAGACACCAACTTCAAATGATCAACGAAGATCAATAAATCTCTTAACTAACTAACATTTCAGCAAGGTTTGTTCCAGAGCACTTCAAACTGGGATTGCACTGCACCAATTTAACTGAATAAATGAATTAAACCTTACAGTCCTTTTATGCATTTTCTTGCTATTGGATTATTTTTAAAAAATAGCTACTGGGTTAATTACAAATTTATTGCTTGCTATATTGCTGGCAGACATTTTGCCTTGTGACTATGCCGAACCCTTCTGAAGTTTAGTTCATTTAATTTGAATTGATGTTTGGAACTACTTTCTTGTTAACATTGGTTCCTTTTGTGTTAGCTGTCTCTTGCCCCTTCTTGGCAAAAAATATTGAAATGTCTATAGTAATAAAAGTTCCTCCCCCTGATAAAATGAAGTAAGGTCCTTCTGCACTTTTCTGTTAAGATTTTTATCCTATTTCATGAGATTAAAAAAGTCTTCTCCCCGTCCCCCTGCCTTTTGTAACTTCTTGCTTGATGAAGGAATCAGGAAATCTCAAAAGCTTGCTTAGAATTTTGTGCATATTTGGTTGGCACCATATGTATGTACTGGTTGGGTCTGGAAATTAGCTCTAAAAAATTCATTTTTCATTAATTCTCTCATATTTCAACTGGAAATCTTTGTTACCAATTGAAATGTGACTTTTAAAAATAATGCTGTAGTTTATTTGACTGCATTCTGTATTTAGTGCAAGACTTACTGCAGAGGGTTCCGCCACAAAGAAAATAACTGTCATTGAGGTCAAAAATTGCAAAACAGTAAATAATTTGTGAAAGAGATTGATTGCTGAAGTGTCTGAAGATGACACTAACCTTTTATTGTGACTAATGCTGTAGTTATAATTTTTACACCGAGAGACTGGAAAACTGGAAGCATGCATCATCTGTTTTGGAAAAGGAGTGAGAAATATATTGCTCATACTTGCTTAACATATCCATTGTTTTAGTTCCAGATTATAGCACTAAGTTTTAAACAAAAAGTGAGTGGGGATGCAGCCTCAAAGTGGACGTGGTATTAAAGAATGTGTTAAACTGCATGTACTAGTAATTAAGGACCCATTGCTATTATTAAACAGTCATTGTGTTAATGTGACAAGCAGACAAACTGTCTCTTTCTTTCTTTCTTTCTTTCTTTCTTTCTTTCTTTCTTTC